AAGCCTTCTGGCTCAGCCAGGGCCCAATGCAGCGCGCAGGAGGGTGCGGGCACGCAACCAGCTCCGGTCCCCCAGCCTGCAGGGGCGGCCACGAGCCCCAGCTCACCCCTGCCGCGTCCCGGCTCCCGCGGCCAGGCTGGGAGACCCGAGAATCAGAGAACATCTTGAGATGGAAGGGACCCAGAAGGATCATCGGCTCCTTGCAGGACTGCCCAATGCTAAACCAGCTCTGAGCGTCGTCCAGACGCTTCTTGGTGAGCTCTGGTGGGCTCGGTGCCGGGACTGCTGCCCTGGGGAGCCTCTTCCAGGGACCGACCACCCTCCCCCTGAAGAACCTTTTTCATCCCGTTTCCTCGTGTCCCATCGCTGGTCACCAGAGAGAGGAGATTGGCAGCTCCCCCTCCGCTGCCCCCCGTGAGGAAGATGCAGACTGTGATGAGGTCACCGCTCAGCGATGAGGTCACCCCTCAGCCTTCTCTTCTCCAAGCTGAACCAGCCAAGTGACCTCAGCCGCTCCTCCTACGTCCTACCCTCGAGACCTTTCACCATCTTGGTGGCCACCTCCGGACACTCTCACAGCCTGGTGTCCTTCTTACATTCAGGCACCCAAAACCGGAGGCAGCCTTTGAGGGGGGGCCACACCAGCGCAGTGCAGAGCGGGGCAGTCACCCCCCTCACCACGCTGCGTGACGCCCCCCCGGGCAGGGCTGGCCCCTTGGGCTGCCAGGACACGACGGTGACTCACCTTCAGCTTGCCACCCCCCCAGGCCCCTGGATCGCTTCCCGCAGGGCTGCTCTCCAGCCTCTCGCCCCCCAATTTGTGCGCTTAACCAGGGCTCCCCCATCCCAGTGGGGAATCTGGGACTTGCCCGTGTTCAGTTCCACGCGGCTGGCGATTGCCCAGCTCTCCCCAGTCTCTCCAGATCTCCCCGTAAGGCCTCGCCACCCTGGAGGGAGCCCACAGCTCCTCCCAGTTTAGGATCATCGGCAAAACCCCTCTCGGGCAGAGACCTGGCAGAGCTTCGCTCCTGATGGAGCGACAGCATCAGTGGACAAGGGAAAACTAACAGAACTCATCTACCTGGACTTCTGCAAAGCCTTCAACACGGTCCCCCACAACATCCTTCTCCCTAAATCGGGGAGATAGGAGTTTCATGGGTGGACTGTTGGGTGGATAAGGAACTGGCTGGATGGTCGCATCCAGAGGGTAGTG